AAATATATATATATATATATATGGCTCCTTATGCTTTTTATTTGCATTTCCCTATGAATAGTTGAACATTTTTATGTTCTTATCAACAGCTTATATGTCTTCTGTGGAGAAACATCATTTCAAATTTGCGCATATTTTGCAATTGTGTTGGTGATTAGTTTTTTGGTTTTTTTTTAACTTATCTATAAAATTCATTGGGTCGGGGACTTAGCTCAGCGGTACTGCACCTGCCTTGCAAGTATAAGGTCTTTAGTTCAATCCCCAATACAAAAAAAATTTCCTTATCTATTTTGGATACTTGATGTTTATCAGACGTGTTTTGAAAATAAAGATCTCTCCCATTTTGCGTGGTGTTTGTTCATTTTTTATTCATAGTTTATTGTTATTGACTATACTCATCCTCTTCTATGATAGAGCTCTTGACATTATTCACTCTTTCTATCAGAAATTTTGTGTCCTTTTACAAACATCTACCCAACTCTCCACGCCACATACTCTGGTTGTCACCATTTTACTGTTCTAATGAAGTGGACACTTTTAGATTCTACATATAAGTGAGTTCATGCAAAGCTTGTTTTCTGTCTGGTTCATTTTCTTTTTTATTCCTGAGTAATACTGTAGTGTGTACAACCATATTTCTTTATTACCGTCATGATGGACACTTTAAATGATTCCATATCTTGAGTTTTGTGATGAATGCTGCCATTAAAATGAGAGTTTAGATATTTCTGTACATACTGATTTTAAATCTTTTGGATATACATTCATAGTGGGAATTTTATATTATATAGCTGTTTAACTTTTAATTTTTGAGGAAACTCCAGAAATTGTCAGTAGTGGCTGCACTAATTTACACGCCTACTAATAGTATTCATTTGTCCCTTTTTTTGTCCAACAATTTGTATTATTTGTCTTTTTGCTCATACATATTTTAACAGGTGTGAAGTGATACTTTATTGTTGTTTTAATTTGCATTACCTGATGATTAGTGATGTTGAGCATTTCTTTCATATACTTGTTCGCTACTTGTATGTCTTCTTTAAGCAATGTCTACTCATTTCTTTTTCAACAATTTTTTCTTTAAAGATACTTGTGTTTCTTTTTCTTTTTATATATTTGGAGTACATAATGGTTACATTCCCTGTGGGGAGTTGGCACATGTATGTGACACATTTTTATTCCTTTTTTAAAACGCTTTCCCCTCCCATACCTCACTCCTTTATCCGTCTTTTAGTCCCCCCTTCCCTTTTGCAAAAAGATCTATCTCCCTAAAGACCAAACGTTGTACATATTAAAGGATCATGTGATGTCTCAATATATACATAGATTGAGTTATGTTTAAAACAGGTTTCACATATCAATCTTCTTAAATGGCTATTATTTATTTATCATGAAAGCTTATAAAATCCTCTTTTCTAGCTTTTTTGAAATTTACAATGCATGCCTGTTACCTATAATCACCCCCACTCTGCAACAGTACACCCAACATCCTTGCTCCTATCCAACTATAACTTATTCAACCTCCCCATATCTCTTTTCCTCCTTCTATGCCCAGTCTCTGGGGGCCACCATTTTAGTCTCCACTTCTATGAGACCAACTTTTTGGTGAACACATGCCGAACTTGTCTTTCTATGTCTTGCCCATTTCACTTAGCCTGGTGACCTCTAGTTTCATTCATGTTTTGGTTTTGTGCTTTGTTCTTTTCGTGGCCATGTAATCTTGCATCTTGTATATATTCTCCATTTTATTTATCCCATTTAGATTGCCTCAATTTTTTTTTTTTGGCAATTGTGAATAGCGCTCAACAAACATGGAAGTATTGATGTATCTTCAATGTACGGATTTCATTTTCTTCACATATATATACTCAGTAGTTGACTGCTGGATCATAAGTAGTTCTATTTTTAATTTTTTTAAGGATTTGCCATACTGTTTTCCACAATGGATGTACTAATTTGCATTCTCACTCAGAGAGTGCAAGTGCAACCCCACCCATTTCATTTGTTTATTTATTTATTTATTATTGGTACCAGGGATCAAACTCTGGTCCTTGCTCTTGCAAGGCAGGTGGTGGAACCACTGAGCTAAATCCCTGGCCTGCCACCTGTTTTATATAAATTTGATAATAACTCTGCCTACCGGGTGAGGTGATAGCTTATTCTCATTTTTTTTTCAGCTTTAATTGAGTTTATTGGTACATTTAGGGATACATTACAGTTACATTCATTGTTGGGATCTTGTACCTCTACATGACAAGTCTTGATTCTCATTTTTCCCCTTACCTCTGCCCTCCCTTCACCCCCTCCTCCCCTCCCCATCTACAAACACTTTATTTTCATCTTTTCATTCTCTCACATTTTTTTCTTTTCCCTTTTTACTCTTCCCCTACCCATCCCACCTTCCCTACACCTTTACCAGCACTGCAAGGAATTCTAAACAATATCCTAGAAAAGGACAACGAAGTTCACAAAGGCTTATTCTAATTTTGATTTGCATTTCCCTGATGACTAGTGGTGCTGAGCATTTTTCACATGCCACGTGTATATTTTCTTTTGAGAAATGTCTCTTTAGGTGTATTGTTGATTTCTAAATTTGGTTGTCTTTTGCTATTGTGTATTTGGCATTACATATATATTGTAGATACCAAATCTTTGTCATATTTATATGTGATTATCTTCCACTTTTTTTGGTTGTCTCTTTAATTTGATGGTTGTTTACTTTGTTATGCGGATTTTTTTGTGACGTAATCACATTTATCTCTTTTATTTTCTGTGTTTCTGAGCTCTTGTAAAAAAAGAAAAAAGAAAAGCCTTGCTCGTTCCAATATCCTGAAGATTTTTTTTCTTATATTTTCTTCTGGTAGGTTCATAATTTCAGGTGCTGACATTTAAGTAATTCATTTTGTATTGATTTTTGCAACTGTTGAGACATGTTCTTCTTTCACCATTTTGCACATGGCTATCCAATTTTCTCTGCACCGTTAGTTAAAAAGAGTATCTTTTATCTAATACATGTTCTTGGAACTCTTGTAAAAAAAATCAGTTGGCTGCCAATGTGTCAGATTACGTCTAACCTCTTTATTCTATTCCACTGGTCGATGTGTCTGTGTTTATACCAATACCATGCTGTTTTGATTTTTTCAATATAGCTTTGTAATGTATTTGGAAGTCAAGTAGCATATTGTGCCCTGCGTTGTTCTTTATGCTCAAGACAATTCTGGATATTCAGGATTTATTATTGTCCCATACATATTTTAGGATATTTTAGCATTTCTATAGGTTTGGAAATTTTTCTATTATTTCGTTAGATAAGCTTTGTATCAGTTAGACACTTTCAAGGCTCTCTTGAACCAAAATAATCCAAATATATTTTTCTTTTAATACTCTCCCAAAGTTCTTATGAGCTTTCTTTTGTGTATTTCTCTTCCATGTAGTTTAAAATAGACTGCCTTTGAGCTCACTACTTTACTTCTGTTTGATATATCCTATGATTAATGCTTCCTATCACAATTTAAATTTTGCTGAATTTATTTTTTAGCTCAAGAATTTGCTTGATTTGAAAAACTGCTTCTATTGTAAAAAAAATAAAATAAAAAAATAAAAAACTGCTTCTCTGTCTATACTTTTTCTTTGTTGAGGATTACATGGTCCTCAGTGTTTTTTTCAAGTTCATCATGTATGTTACTTTTTTAAAAAGTTGTTTTAAATTCTGATTATTCCCCCACTGATTGCCATCTGGTCATTTTCTAGATCACTCTTATTTTGACAGTGGGTTGAGCCATTGTTTCAAGAAAGCTCTTGACTCTTGTTAGCATATTACACAGTTTGGGCACTGAAGGTCTAGGTATTTATTCTAATCTTCCTAATCTAGCTTTCTTTTGCCTGACTTCCCATAAATTCTTTTCTCTCTCTCTCTCTCTCTCTCTCTCTCTCTCTCTCTCTCTCTCTCTCTCTCTCTCTCCCTCTCTCTCAGTACCATTATTGGTATTTTTTAGGTATACAGTACAGTTACATTCATCATTGGGATCTTGTACCTTTACATGACAGGTGTTGGTCTTCATTTTTCCCCCTACCCCTGCCATCCCTTACATCCCATAAATTATAATAAGCAGGCTGCTTATTTTCACTGAGCTTGTAGTTACTTCCACTATTTCAGCAAGGTATGTTGCCACGAATCTGCTGGTGGTGAATTGGCAATGTTTTAGCACTAGAGGGCAGTCAAAGCCCTGGTTAGTTCCAAATCCAAAATTGCGTTGTTCAGAGTGAATTAGGGGAGTGCACAGAAATGAGATTGGAAATATTGAGACAGATCTTTGGCATTTGGGAAGTGAGCTGAGAAAGGGTGGCAGTGGGGATGAGGTGGGGAGAAATCAGATAAAAATGGTGAAGTGTTGTGTACATACACCAAGTCCCTAGGATCAACTTGATCATCATGTGCTACATATATGTGTGTGTGTGTGCACGCGCGTGCATGCGTGTGTGTGTGTGTGTGTGTGTGTGTGTAGGAGAAGGGTCCCAAGAGATGCAGGGAGGGGGTAAGGAAGGGAGGATGTATAAATAAAATAATTTTAAAATATTATGTACATGTACCAACTCCCCATGATGAATGTAATCATTATGCAGTATAAAATGTACCAATAATCATAATAATAATTTAAAAAGGAAATAATAGACTATCTTTATAGCCCTCAATAGAACAAACATAGGCCCAGATGCCTATCCAAACTACTGGCCTATGGTCAGGTACTGCAGATTCTAATCAGTATAGAAGCAATATCCCCAGGCTACTATGTCACACTGTGGCCATCAGTGCCACAAAGCTGTGTCATAAGCTGAGCTCCAAGCCCAGCACAGCACTTGGGAAGGACTAAGAGCCCCACAGCTATGAGCTGCCTATTACTGAAGTGAACTCACAGCCTAACAACAAATCGCAGGTGGCACTTGCATGAATAGAAAATCAATAGGCTGGGGCTGTGTAATTTTCCTTGGCTCTGGGCTGTTCTTGAGAATCCCTCTTTAGGCAGGTCTGAGGATGAGAGGTGCTAAGATCAACCTAGTAATTTATCTCACCCAGCTTGGTACTAATTTCAAAGCTTGAGCTTACTACCCAGCAAATGGGATCTTGCTCTATGCTATGCTGCCTCAGGGTGGCATGGCATTTGGCGAAGGCAATACCTTGGGCACCTCGACTGATACTGAGCTAGGCTGAATGTGAATCTCATAGGTGCAGTGACCCACACATTTTCAAGGGTGCCTCAAAGCCCATGTTGCAGTTCGTGGTGGAATGGACTGCAAAGGGAGTCTAGCTCATTGGTGTATTCACCGCTCATTGTTAAAGAAGTTCTAGAGTCTGGTCTGTGATAGCTGTACTGCCTCACTTGGGGTCTGGGTGATGGAGACAGAACCTTGGCCACCAAATATGGCACAACGCAGGGCTGCTCCAGAGTCTCACAGCTGCAGGAATCTGCAGTTTTGGGGAGGAGGGATGTGCGTGCCCCAGGCTTACTCCAAGACTGGTAATGATTCAGGCAAAAACTAATCTGTCCCAACTTTATGTAACTCTCTGCCTCATGCTGGGGAGGATCCATCTGTGAGCTCTGATCTGCACACAGGGACCTTATTTTCTACCTGATACTATGTAGAAGCCCCTGGTGGACTTAGCACTTAAATGCAGAGACAAAAACCTGTGTTAGCATTCATGTCTTGGTACTCTGTAGGTGGAGCCTTGTTTCTTGTTCTTGTTGGTGCCTGATTTTGAGAGGGATTTTACAAGCTGTTTCTTTGCTTTCTGGCAGAAGTTTCAGCAGCTCAGTCCAAGGGAATGTTTCACAATAGGGACTGTGGGGCTCTGATCAGCAGGTTTCACTGTAGAGGTCCTGGTCCTATGTTTAAAAATAAAAAATCCAGGCCTTAACTCGAAGAAAATTTAATGTGAGTTATCAAGTGGTGGGCGTCTGTCTCTGTGCTTAGAAACGGTGGAGGGGTGATGTCTGTAATTCCTTCCTGCCTATCTTCTTGAATAGCCTTTTCTGCGACAGTTTTAAACAGGCATTACAGTTTCTTAGTTTCTTTAGCTCTTGTAAAGGTGTTATCCTACTCTCATTTGGTACTGCCTAGTTAAATGAATTTCTGTCCTGCTTTAATCTTATCTTTCAGGACAGGATGTAGACAAGAAAGAGGTTTCTCTTCGGGTGGGCTAGCCTAAACTGAATGGATCGAAGACTGTCCACTAGAGTGACCACTAGACACCCTCTACCTGCATTATAATCCCAACTGTGTGCTAAATGGTATCTACACACACACACACACACACACACACACTCTAACATCATGACAGTCGACATTTGACAGTGGCCATGACCATAACAGAAGTAAAAGAGGAAAAAAGAACCATTAACAGGAGCGGAAAGAGGAGGCATTCGCAGGGGAGAAAGGGAAAAAGTCTTCCCACCACCAGAAAAGATATGAATATTCCATCACTTGTATTAACCTATGCTGCCCCTTCATTCCATTTTACCCTACATCTATGAAGGGTAGCGATATTAATTTGCAAACCTATCTACATCTGTTATTTGCCAAGAAAAGCGGTCCCTTTTACTGCTTAATTGATGCTTGGTTTGTTACTGGTTCCATAAACCCAAAAGGGAAAAAGGCCCCAGACTGAAGTAAAAAATTGGTAACAAATGTAGTTTGTTGCTTGTATAAACTGTTTGAGTTAGATGTAACTGCGGGAGTCACAGATATTACCGGTCTTCTTTCTCTGCTCCTCCAAGTAATCTCGTTGTTTTCTATTCTTAAGCCCTGGGGTAACTAGTATTTCTTATCCTTTGATAAATTCAGCAATCCGTCTCTACTCGTTCAAGGGCGCCCCAGTCTAAGACCCCAGCATGCAGGGACCCGCCCCTTCCGCGCATACGCCCAGGAACCGGAAGCGGAAGTGTGACTCTGCGCATGTGCAAAGCACTAGCACGTCTCCTTGTCCCTCCTCTTGGCTGTGAGATAATTGTTTTGTCAGTGCGCTTCCTAGCTGTGTGTGAGCGCTGGCAGGCGGAGGGCCGGGCCTGGGGGTCTGTGGTCAAAGGTTTCCTCCTTGGCGCTCCCCCCTGAACGCTGTCGGCCTTCCTTAGCTGAGGGGTCCCCTGGGAGCCTTGTCAGCCCCGACCGCGCTGCCTGAACACGGGCCAGTGCATCTGGCGCTCAGGGCGCGATTCTCCTGCGGGCTGAAATTGGAGAACCGCCGTCGTATTTAGTCCACAAACGCATCCTGAGATCTCTGCAGAAAGGGAAAGCATCTCTGCTTTGAGACCAGGAGACGAGAACATTCTCGTCGCTGCCGCTGTGCGGGTCCCTGGATTTCTGCGCGCTGGGTGAGCTCGGTCCCTGCCTTGCCTCTCCCGGTGCATTGCGTAGCGTTGAATCTATGTACGTTCCTCTGTCTGCGATCATCAGCTTGGCACATTGAATTCAAATACATAAAAGCCAACTGATTTACGCAGTTTGTCCCTCCCTTTACCAAATACATTTTATCGTTAATAAAATGGTACATTTTAATCACTTATTTATAGATTCTTTGATTTCACGGAGAGAATTAGCCACTCTCAACGTTTTCCTTTTTATTTCCATTTTCCTTTTTTTTTCGATTTCTCTAATGCATCTGCCAGGACTTGCAGTTGACTGGAGAATATCATATAATTTGCATTTTACCTTTATTCCTGATCTCAGTGAGAACAATTCTGTCACATCACTATTAAGTGTTTGCTATAGGGTTTTTTTCCTAATAGAATATTTTTCTTTCTAAAGAAATTATCATCACTCATGGTTATTGAATAGATTAGTCACCATTTTGTGTCTAAGGGAATGAATCGTGATCTTTTTCAATTAGTATTAACTATTACCAATTAATTATATTAATGACTCTATTTTTAAGCATCTTCATTCTTTCATAGAAACTTCATTTGTGGTTTATTCTCATTGTTCATTTCTCAACTGTACTAATATTTTTACATTATTTGCATTTTATGTGCATAAAATCTTACACTTAAATAAGTTGTACTCTTTCAGGTCTTGGAAATACCTAGGAAAACACATTTTTTACTCATTGGAATTATGAATTCATTATTTATTTGGTCAACCTGCTTGTAAAAGTTTATAACTTCTGTTTCCTTTGTGGGCATGTGTTTCACCTAGATTTTTTTGTTTTTGTTTTCTTTAATGACTGGATATGATTTTGTGTCTCTTAGATCATTATTGGAATATTGTAACGCTGTCTTGAAATTCGTTACCCACATACATATTTTGTTGTATTTTCCCTGCAGTATCTGTATGATTCATTCTCATTCACAACTTTTTTTTTGTTTTGTTCTGTGCTCTCTTGCTTTTAAATTTGCTGAGTTTGTCAGTTGAATTAGTTGTCAAAGGATACATGTTTAGATTCTCTGGTTCCATTATTTTTAAAAAGTTGTTAATTTTGTATTCCTTTTAAACTTTTGTGCAGTCATTTCACCCTCATAAATCAGTTGTTTGCCCATAATACTAATTGTTTTTCCCTTTTGGGGGTTGATAGTGCTTATAAAGATCAAAATATATGCACTAACCTATCTATGGATTTCTAGTTATTTTAATTTTCTGCTGTTCTGTTCCACAAACCAGTCCTAATGCAGCATGTAGTACCACCCGGTATATTTTGTTTATTGCCTTGCTCTGAAAGATGATAAAATCCTTATGCTTAAGTATTTTTCTTTTATTTAGTGGTTTATTCCCCATGATTGCATGTTATAGGGTCAGGGTAAGTGTTACCTAAATGTATATGAAACGAAAGGGCAGGAAATAGGGACTTCCTTAAGGAAAACATCCTTACCTAGCTTCTAGGACCTAGAAGAAGGAACTCAGAGCACATTTGAATAGAAGGCTTCACTCAGCTGATCTCCAAATGGTTCTAGATTAAATCCTGGTAATGTTAGAGAATAGGAGCTTATGTTTTAAAAATGAACTCTTTTGGAATAGAAATAGAACTGAATTCATACACTGCCTCAGCAGCTTTATAATTAGGTAATATTGAGTATATAGTTAATTTTTTCAAAGATTCCTCAACTTTAAATTGTTTGGTATATCTGATAGACTTCCCATAAGAAATAAATAATACATAAACATCTATTTGCAAAGTCATTATCATGTTAGGGTTGCTATTATAAAAACAATAAAGTGTTACATTTTTTATTGGCTTTTACATAGGGTACTTGTTTTACTCCTGAAGGAACTTTTGAATTTTTCACATTTCAAGTTTGTGAAACAACGCTGCAGTGCCACTTTGAAGTACACGTCTACTACTGTACTTTAGAGGGAAATTAAGCATGTGAATCACAGAAAGGCAATTTTTTTTTCTGTGTTCTATATATGGAATTCGGTGGGTTCATGCTCAGAAACTAGGTTTGGGGAAAATCCTGCTGTTCCCAGGGATGGGGTGCAGTGGTCAAGGTCTGAGAGTAATGCCTGTTACCCTGCCAACAGGTACAGAAGTAAGTTGAGGAACTGAGACCTTTGAAGTCTGCCTTCATGGATTTGATACAGGGAGTATCTGTTCCTGCGGTTGAAGACACTGCTTGATAAATTTTTTTTCTTTTGTTGTAAAGGAAAATGTACAAGAGGTCATTATTAGACATCAGTTAACTTGCTTATAAAATGTCACTCTTAAGTGTCTTCTTTATGATTAGCAGAAACAAGAGCATTGATTTCTAGCTTTAGATAAGGTTTTTTTACATTTTTTACAGGATTAGTGAGTGGTGTGTGTGTGTGTGTGTGAAGTTGTCATTTGTAATGGATATGCTAAGCATCCAGGCTGGTAAGTTCATGAGTGTGGGAACTTTGGGGAGGTTTGGGTTCTTATTTTGGCGTTTGCCTTACCTGTAATTTATCAGTATTCTGCTTTTCTTCATGAAGGTGACATGGGGGACAAAAGAAGAGATGCTGAGTTACAGAAAAATATGATACAGGTAAGTGAAAGGGAATAATTCTCCAAAGAAACTCTTCCACTAGATGTCCTTTAGCTGTTTAGAGCACAGCTTACCACTCTTGTTTTTATATTAAATCACATGAGAAGTATTTTAAGCTTTGGATGGTAGAAAATGTCTATTCCCCAAAAAATGGCATTTTAGTGCAAAAGCAGACATAGACGTAACACAGTTGTTTTTTTTTTAATCTCCTGCCCCTTCCCACCCATCTTTCTCCCTCTACCTCTAAATCCCTGTTATGGCTTGTGTTTAGATGTCCCCTCAAAGCCTCATGCAGTCATAGCTGGGGCTTTTTCAGAAGTGGGTGGATCTAGGGTGTGTGTGATTGATTCATGGTACAGTCCTAGGCTTCAGGGCACCAGGATTAAGAGTGTGAGTGCTACCTGCCCTAAGTTGTGTCTGGATAAAATAAAAGGGGCAGAAAGATACTGTTAAGGTTCCTTGTTGCTTTTGCCGTCCTGTGTGCCACCTTGAACTGTTTCTCCTACCATGCCACCATGCCCTGATGCAGCCGGTTATGGATTGAAACCTCTGCAAACTGTGAGCTAAATAAACGTTTCCTCTTTTAACTTTGAGTGTTAGGTATTTTGTCTTAGCAATGAGACAAGTAAATAAGACAAAATTTGCTACCCGAAAAAGTGGGGTCCTTGCTGTGAATATACCTGAGCATGTGGTTTAGGAACCTTTGGGACTGGCTTGTGAGAAGAGTTTGGAAAGGTTTAGAGATGCCGTCTGAAAAAGGAGGGCTGGAATGCCTGAGGCTGTGCTTGATGAGATATTCTGCTTAGAGCTCAGAAGACCAGAATACCAGTAGAAATTTGCCAGTAACAACCAAGTTCAGGAGATTTTTGCCGTGAAGAAGGATGCATTGGCTGTTGGACTCCAGATGATGTGTGTGTTATGGCTTGGCAGAAAGTTTGTCTGCCTTTTTCTGGTGTCCAGAGACTTTGCTTGAGACTGAGATTAAGGCTGGTACTAAATAATTTTCCAGAAGAAATTTCAAGGCAGTCTAATGTTGAGGCAGTGGCATGGCTACTGTTGGGGGCTTTTAGCCACATCTATGTTGGGAATCAAGAGGAAAGAGACTAGCAGAATGATTTAAAATGTTGTGAATTTGACCAGAAGAAAGGAAGTATCAGTAAAGCTGTGGACTGTAAAGATAGAGCAGCGGATATCCAGGTTGCTGAGAAAGAATGGGAGAAAGAAAAGATGGTCTGGAGACATCACAAGAAGCAGCAGGATGCCACCCTTTGCAGCCTCAAAATTGCAAAAGCAAAAGAATTTGCTTTGAGGAGAGAGTCACAGATCACCACATTCCAGAATGGTGGCAGCCTAGAGAATTTGTTCCTCAGGACTGGGTTCGGAGTGCTTCGTGATCCGGGCACTGGATCCCCACAGCCAAGAGAGACGGAAGCCTGGCTACTGCAGCTGGTGTTAGACCTTGACAACATCCGCATGGCCCTGTTTTAGGTGCCTGCGGAATGCAAGAGTTGTGGGATCAGGAAGGCTTCTACCCAGATTTCAGAAGAAGGCTTGGGAGTCCAGGCAGGGTGACCCTGAGAGAGGAGTGTGTGAAGCTGAAGGTTCAGTGGAGACCCCAGAAGTTTGGAGAAGCCGGGTATGTGGATCATCTGAGGAAAACTACCAGGAGAGAGCATAGGTGGCCCAAGAGTGAAGCCCTGGGAGCTACAACCACTGACAGTGCCATGGGGCGGAGCCAACCAAGCCCTTTGGAGTTCATAACTTGCCACAGATCGTAGGGGCTGCTTGAAATGGAACTGTGGGATTTAATGTTTCCCTTGCCAGATTCTGGTCTTGCTCTTTTCCTGTTCCTTGCTATACCCATTTGTAAATTTTCAAATAGAAATTATCTTGTGCCATTAAATATTAGAAGTGTTTAACTTTCTTTTCATTAGTACAGGGGCTTGCAGCTAAGCGTTTGCTTTAAATCTCAGAGGAGACTTGGACTTGGACTTTTCAGCAATGTCGAAACTGTTAGGACTTCGGCAACCCTTAGAGATGGAGTAAATAAATGCCTTTTGTATGAAGAGATGTGCATGAGTCTTCGGTTTGGGGGCAAGGACAGAATGTTATGGCTTTTGTTTAGATGTCCACCTAAACCTTCATGTCATAGGTGGAGCTTTTTCAGAGGTGGGTGGATCGAGGGCATGTATGATTGATTCCTGGTACAGTGAGAGGTTGCAGAGCACTAGGATTAAGGGCATGAGTGCTGCTGGCCTTAAGTAGCCTGGTTAAGATAAAAGGGGCAGAAAGACACTGTAAAGATTTCTTGTTGCTTTTGCTATCTTCAGCCATGAGCTGTTTCTCCTTTTGATACCCCTCAGGATGGGTGCTGGTTTAGAAAGACCAAGGCATGACTAAAGGTTTGGAACTTTTAGCTCCAGCCTTTCTCCAGCCTGGGGAGGGGGTTGACTGGTAAGTTGTTTACCAATATGCAGTAGTTTCATCAATCGTGCCTACTAGTGAAGCCTCCATAAGAAATCAGAAAGAGTGGGTTAGGGATGTATTATTCACCTTTCCATTGCTGGGACAAAAACACCTGACATCTCCAACTTAAAGAAGAAAGTGTTTACTTTGGCTCATCGTTTTAAAGGTTTCAATCCGTGATCTGCCTGCTCTAACGCAGAACTGCTGTGGCAGAAGGGTATGGCGAAAGAAAGCTGCTTCACTCACGGCATCTAGGGAACAGAAAACGGGAAAAGCCAAAGAGGATGAGGCCAGGGACCAGATACCATTCCCTGGGTCACAGCCCCCATGACCTGCTTCTTCCCACTGGCCGCTCCCCCGTTAGCCCCTGAACGCAAGAGCCGCGAACCCATTGATGAGGCTAGTGCCTTCCCAATCCAGTAACCTCTCCTGGGATCTCTTAGTTCATCCAAATGGACAATCAGGACTCACTGGGCCAAGGGAAGCTTCTGAACAGCTGAATATATGGAAGCTCTCGAAGCTCGGTGTGCCAACAGCGTATGGAAGTTCCGTACCGCTTCCTACTGTCACGCCCTGTCTGCCTCTTCATTTGCTTTTGCTTGTGTTCTGTGAGCCATTCCGGCAGATTGATTGAACTCAAGGTGTGGGTCTCAGGGTCTCTGATCTTTAGCCAGTTGGTCAGAAGTACGGGTGAAACCTAAGACCTGGTATCTGAAGTGGAGGACGGTGTTGTAGGACTGTGTGATGCTATCTCCAGGTAGACATTGTGAGAATTCTGTTGGGACACTCAGTTGTGCTTGAGAAAAATCTTCCACGCATCTGGCGTGAGAAGTGTGTATTCAGCAACTCTGTAATAGTACAAGAAGTGTGTATTTGTGCTGTATTCAGTGATTCAAAGAGTGACTGCGTGTGATCTCAGAGAAACTGACTGTTTTACAAGTGCTGAGCCTAGCAGGAGATTTTGATGGGTTAGAAAGGATACGTGGGTAGAAAGAAAAAACAATCTCTGGCTAAGTCCCACAGCAGATACCGGAAGACCATAGAATCAATCTTCTGAACTTCCTCCGAGTTGATTCTCAGTCCTCAGTATTACAGACTCCTCCACGCTCTTGCCCAACATAAGGCACTTGTACTTTTCTAAAAAAAAAAAAAAAAAAATTTTGTGGATATTTTAGGATTCACTGAACTTTGAAGATCTGGCTGTGGACTTTAGCCCAGAGGAATGGGCTTTGTTGGATCTTGCTCAGAGAAAACTCTACAGAGATGTGATGCTGGAAACCATCCAGAATGTGGCTTCCCTAGGTAAGAATGGCAACCTTCATTCGCGTAGTTTAGAAAACAGTTTATTTTTCCAGTTCACTTTGTTCTGCGATTTGAGCTGAATGATGGGAATACATTGATAAGAGAGACAGATATGCTCACTGACCCCAAGGTTTCCTTGTTTCAAGGTTTTTATCATGTAAATAAACACCAGCATTTTGGACCTGCTGTTTATTCTTCTTGTGGGTGAAAGCCTTTAAGCTTACTGAGTGTTGAAATTGTGTGCATTAAGGGGTCCCTGGAGCACAGGAAGATAGTTTGAAACCTGAGAATTTTACTGTTGTGAGTGCTGTTCACCAAAAGACCACCAGGCATACGCTTGTAAATAAGCAAGTCCGGTTTACGTCTCAGTGCAGCATAGAAGGGCATTCCCTATGGGGAATTGTGGGGCATCTTAGTAAGAGGGCATTAGAAAGAATCAGGATTGATGCTTTGGTTTAATGATTTGGGTATTGGTCTGAGGAAGCCTACTATTAGTTTCTTAGGCCTTCTCTTAACAAAGTACCACACACTGGTGTCTAACCAAATGAAACTTATTCTGTCATGTTTCTGAATGCTGGAGCTCCAAAATCATGGTGTCAGCTGGGTGATACTCTCCCTGAAATAGCCTAGTGAAAATGTGACTTGTCTCTTTTCGGCTTCTGGCGCTCATGGACAGTCCTTGGTGTTCTTTTTGACTTAGCACTCGAGTCTCTCCCTCAATCTTCTTTTCTGTATGGCTGTTTTAAATCTCTTTCCTTACAGTGGCACCAGTTATTAGATGTGGAGCCTACTTTCACCCAGAATAACATCTTACATTGATGAAGACCTTATATCCATATAAAGTGATGTTCCAAGATTCGGAGGAGATATTTTAATAGCGTTTGTTTTTTAGAACAGATTTATTCTCATGTTTTAAGTTGAACAGAAGGTAGATTTTATATATACCCCTTACTTCCCCCCACAGCTCTGTCCCTGCTTTCAGCACTTCCCACCAGACGGTGTATTTATTATAGCTGAACTGACACTGACACGTTATCACTACTACAACAGAGTCTAGTTTCCATTAGGGTTCACTTGTGTTGTATATTCTGTGACTTTGGAAAAATGTATGATGGCGTATATCCACTATTATAGCATCATAACAGAGTAGTTTCACTATCCTAAAAAGTCCTGTGTACTCTCCCTGATCATCCTCCCCCTCCCTTAACCCTTTGTCAACCACTGATCTTTGGGCTGTGTCTGTCATTTTGCCTTATGCAGGATGTTGTATAGTTGGGATCAAGTCCCATGTAGCCTTTTCAGATTGGCTGCTTTCACTTACTGATATGCATTGAAGTTTCTTTTCTGTCTTTACATGATTTGATAGCTCATTTCTTTGTAGTACTAAATAATACTCTGTTGTCTAGATGTGTTAGATTTTATCCACTTACCTACTGAAGGGCTTCGTGTGTGCTTTCATGTTTTGGCAATGAGGAATAAAGCTGTCATAAGCGTTATGTGTAGGTTTCTGTGTAAGTTTTCTCAACCCCTTTGGGTGAATACTAAGGAGCACAAATGAGATGTTGGAACCTCTGGTCAGAATATGCTTAATTTTGTTAAGAAACATTATACTGTCTTCCACGAAGCAGTTCCATATTGTATTCCTGCCAGTGGAGATCCTGTTGCTCCATATTCTTGTCAGCATTTGGCTTTGCCACTATTCCAATAGGCCAGTAGTAGAGTATCACTGTCTTAATCTGCATTTCCCTCATGACCCATAAGAGGAGCATCTTTTGTGTTTTGCCTCATGAGGCTAATCATCCACAGATATTTCAGCTTATTTATTTCTTGCACACTTGGGCACTCTAATGCTGAGCAACATCCCCAGCCCTTATTTTTCAAATTTTGAATCAGGGTCTCAAAAGTTGCCCAGGTGGAACTTGAACTTGTCATCGTCCTGTGTCAGCTTCCCTGACTGCTAGAATAAAAGATGTGCGCTTTCACGCTCAGCTAACTATTTTAACCTTTTATCTTTCCTCTCACACTTACCTTATTCTTTGCAAAGGCTTTATTGGCTTTTTTTTAAGTTAGTATTTTGTCTATGCATCTTATTCAATCCCTTTCTGTTTTGCTCTCCTAATGCTGTTCCACTTGTTACTATCAGTGTCGAATTTCACAGAACAATTTCTTAGTGACTTGCAAACCATGTTACCCATATCCCTGTTAATACCAAAGTCTTGAAACAGCCACACTGCTAAAAGTCAAAAGTCCTTTTCTCACTGATATTTTCACTTTTTGGTTTCAGGTTTTAAGATTCTACTTAAAGCTAATGAATCAGTTGTTCTGCCTGATAATAATTTAGAAAAAGTATCTAAAGAACAAAAAGTCCTAAGATTCAGTAGAAATGGTTCTTGGTTCTCTATTTTACATGCAAACTGGGAGCACTGTGGTATTGATGAGAGCAGCAAAAGCCACGGAAGACATTTGAGGTGAGTGCCCTTCATGGATGAGGAAGTAGTTCCTCAGGAGAGAATTAAAATGTCTTGAGGTTTAAGTTTGCTTCCATAAGCCCAGGTCAAAAGTTGTACTTTCACAAATAATTTTGTCTGTAAACTTTTTTCCTACCAATGAGGCAGTCAGTTTTTTGCACATATTCCATTTGTAAACAATCATGGAAAAATCCCCATAAGTCAAACTTTAGTGAAACTGTCAGCTGTGCCAACACCATCCATGAGAACACGCAGCTCGTAAATTGACAGGGAGAAAACATGCACTCAATAACAATGGTAAAAAATTATTACTAATAATGTCCCTTTCATTTTTAAAAGTCACGAGGTGGAAAACGTCTGTGAATGTGATGGAGAAAATCAAAGGGAACAAATTCCAAATCTTAATGGGCTCAAGAGAACTACGGAAGTGAACTCCTATGAATGTCGTGAGTGTGGAAAGGCCTTCCTGTGTCATCCATCCCTTAAGAGTCACATCAGATCTCATATCAGGAGCAAACCCTACCAGTGTCAGGAATGTGGGAAAGCCTTCCATTTTCTTGCTTATTTTAAGAAGCATATGAAGACCCCCACTGAAGGGAAGCCCTACGAATGTAAGGAATGTGCCATACTCTTTAGTTGTTCCTCATTCTTTAGGGCACACATGAAGATTCACAGTGGAAAAGTAAACTATGAATGTAAGGAATGTGGAAAAACTTTCAGTACTTCTTCATACCTCACAGAACACAAAAGAATTCATAGTGGAGATAAGCCTTGTGAATGTGATGAGTGTGGAAAGGCCTTTAGTTGTCCTTCGTCACTCTCCCAACACAAAAGAATTCATAGTGGGGATAAGCCATACGAATGCAAGGAATGTGGGAAGGCCTTTAGTTCTTCCTCTCACCTTATAACACATATCAGAATTCACACTGGAGAGAAGCCTTATGAATGCAAAGAGTGTGGGAAGGCCTTCAGTGAGTCCTCCAAACTCAGTCGACATATGAGAGCACATACTGGAGAGAAGCCCTATAAATGTAAAGAATGTGGGAAAACCTACAACTGCCCCTCCTCCTTGAGTATCCACATGAGGAAACACACTGGAGAGAAACCCTATGAATGTCTGGAATGTGGCAAAGCCTTCTATCTTCCCACTTCCCTGTATACTCATGTGAAAAATCAGAGCAGAGAGAAACCCTATGAGTGTAAGGAATGTGGGAAGGCCTTCAGTTGTCCCTCATCCTTTAAAGCACATGTGAGAGATCATGCCCGAGAGATACAATACGAGTGTAAGGAGTGTGGGAAGGTCTTCAGTCGCTCCTCATCCCTCACCGAACACTTGAGGACTCACAGTGGAGAGAAGCCTTATCAGTGTAAGGAATGTGGAAAAGCCTTTATTAGTTCCTCCCAGCTTACAGTTCACAGAAGAACCCACAGTGGAGAGAAACCTTATGAATGTAAGAAGTGTGAGAAATCCTTTATGTATTTCTCAGCCTTCAGCTTCCACATGAGAATGCACACAGGGGAAAAACCATATGAGTGCAAGGAATGTGGGAAGGCATTTCGACATTCTTCATACCTAACCATCCATGCCAGAATGCACACTGGAGAAAAACCCTTCGAATGTCTGGAATGTGGAAAAGCCTTCAGATGTCCCTCGTCTTTTCAAAGACACGTGAAAAGCCACACAGGAGAGAAACCGTATGAATGTAAGGAATGTGGGAAAGCCTTTATTTGTGCAGCCTACCTTCGAAGACATGTGAAAATCCACAGTAGAGGAAAAACATAAAGGTCAGAAATATGGGAATGTCTACAAGACTCCTTAGCATAGGCGACTTGTTCAGTCACCCCGTTACTATGATACAGTACAATGTTGCTTATTCTTTTGAAGACCTGAGAGAAACCTTGCTTCTGAGAACCATGTAGTAAAACCACTTCAAACCTCATATCACTTATTATTTACCCAAAATTTCATTCTAGAAAAGATCTGGGCCTCATCCTTGAAAGTAAGCTGAATACCCATGATTTCCAGTATTTTTAATAGGAAGGTGATACATTTAAGGGGCCAAATTTGCCTTAGCTCCAGCCACATAGGATAAGCTACATGTTAAGTTTCTTCTTAATACATGTTTGCTGTACGTAATAAACACATTCATCGTTGGGAATTGGTACAAGTACATATTATATCATCATCTTTTTACTTCCCCTTTCTCCCTCCCATCTCCCCCACCTCTAGACCCCCTTTCTCCACAAAGTCTGCCTCCCCGTTTCCTGTCTTTTATTTTGCTCTTTAAATTATACTTTGAATTTTTTATGTAGGAGAAACCATATGACATTTACTTTTGTTACATCCATATTATATGTGATCTATATATTTGGCCCAGGTGGCAGTATTGTTTCCGTTAAAAGACTTTGGGACCCATATGGGGTTTGAAGTTTATGTTTCCATAGGCAAGAGAGTGATCTTTTATTCTTTTCTCTCTCTTGGTTTGTTTATTGCTCTCTCGGTGTGTGGTCATCATTTAAATGTGGGCTTTTTTTTTGGATGGGGGTGTCCGTTGTATCAGATAGTGAATATTGCCTAGCCAGTATTTTTCCTTTACCCTCTTTTTACTACAAGAATCTACAGATTAAGGGAATTAGAAGTTTTTACTGTGAAAACATTGGATCCAAATCCTAGCCATGTGCAAGGATAAAGAATCAGACATACTCTTTCCTGGCTTTTGTATTTATTAATTTGTGCTGAAATTACCATAGAGGTTGTGATAGTAAAAACTTGTAATTCCTGAGATAGTGCCCTCTCTGTCAACATGCAAGCCAGGTTGCCATGATATACTTTTTTCTAAACGAATTGCTCAGTATTCAGGTTTAATTGCAGCGTTAGCACTCTGTGATAAATGATTGAGTTTGGGGTTACAGTTTGGGCACTCAGTCTCTAAGAGACTCGCTGAGCTAGATCAGGGATGCTGGCTCTTGTGCTTCCTACAAGATTGAGATGTCAGAGAATAGAGTGTGTGGATGAGTTTGGCTACTGAAGAGCTCCATGCACTGAGCTCTCAAGGCTGCGCAAATGTACATCACCAGTCTGTATCCTTCACCCACGTGGCTGCTGATCCCAGTCTCTCAGACCCTATGCCTATGTCTCCACCCAGATTTATAATCTTCATTGGAGAGTGCAGACTGAGATAGATTTATCATCAAATAAAGGGTAGTATATGTTTATATGTCATTAATACATGTTTAATAAATACCCACACTTATTACAAAACAGTGAACAGATGTTTATTAAGTTTTGCCTCATTCAAGTGCCCTCCACTTCGAGAAAAGAGTGATTCTCTTTATTTCCAGATAAGGAAAATCAGCACAGAGAAGTGGAGTGATTTACACATACGACATAGTGAATTTTCGAAAGATGTGGCTCCCAAACTTGAACTACTGTCTGTAGTCTCAGAGTTCTTGTCAACCTGCAGGAGAGCTTGTATTTTTGTTGTCAAACTTGATTGAGTACAGATGAATTAACTGAGGCAAAACCGTCATTTCTTTTTTGAGATGCAGCAAGTTCATCTGTGAAGCGGGTTAGAATCATTGGTTTACAAGGTCATTTATGATGCAAAATCTGTGGGTTCTGGAGTTTTCTATGAATGGAAAATTCACAGAATTTAGGACTAAATGGAAATCTGAGATATAAAAAATATTTTCTATATATAAAGCTATTGTAGAATACTTATTTCCAGACAATTTCTCATTTGATACCTCTCAATAAGAGAATATAACTGGTAGCAACTTTTTTCTTTTGGGAAAACAAATGTAAGCAATATTGTAGTGTAAACATGGACTGGATTTCATAACAGCTACCATCCATGCACATATATAGAAATTTTCACAGATGGGATGAGAGAGAGAAGCATAGGATTTTGATTTGATTTTTTTTGTCAGGAAATGGCTAAATAAAATGCAGTTCAATCCTTAGGTAATATGTATCATTTAAAGTGTTATATCTCAATGTAGGTACTTTATACAAATTAAATCAGTGTAAACATGAATATGTAGTAATACATAGATTTTTAAGAAAATTTATGCATAAACATAATCCAATGATACGGAATTTTGACAGAAGATAAATTCTGACAGTGCTTGCATTTGGAGAACAGGTATACAGAGGAACCTGTTTATATATTCTTTGTACCCATGCAAAGTGTATGGATACACAAAACCTCAAATTTTATTAGAAATATTTCAAATTTCCACAAAAGTTCTGAAGAGAATATTAAATATAATTTTACCATAGTTAATGGCTTTTTGTTTCATTTAAAAATATTTGTAGTGAGTCATCCATTTAATTAGATAGCAGGTAAACATTTTAAAAGGTACTCAGGGAGAGAAGATACCTGGTTTGGGGGTGACAGTAATGGTGTCTCCAAATTGGTGCTAGAGAAAAGCAGATACTTAAGGTAGGAGCGAGAGAAAGTTTGATTAAGGAAGGATGAATGAAAATTCACCTTGACTAAAATCCAGTGATGAGGGAGTATGTGAGGGAAAACTGGACCACTATTCTGTCATGGTACTGTGTACCCCACACAAGACCTGGTGTGCACGTCAGCTTGGGAGAGAATTGGACTCAAAAACCATTATTCTTTACTAGGCAAAGCAAGTGAGACATATCCAGAGAAGCCAAAAGCACAGTGGGTTGGAATAAATTGCCATGTACCTGCACCCTGTAAACAACAGTACTCCAGTCTCAGTGAGCATCGGGAGCATGGGAAGGGGAAAAGCTTGACTGATACAGGGAAAGAAAAAAAAAAAAAGTCACCCATTACCCCTATATGCAATGGGAATTCTGTTAATGGAACATTCAACACATGACCTACTCTTGCCTGTAGGCTCTCATGGGGGGCCCTCAGCACCTGCTCGCTGGGGATTGCAGAAGACAGGGAGACGTAAGGTGGTGACAGTGCAGTTACAGGAGTGGGGATCCATGAGAGGAGAGACAGAGGCCGGTGCCAAAG